CCTCTTACACTTCTAATAAAAACAAATTCTTTTCAAACTTGTATCATCAATTGACAAATTTGATTATAATATTATAATCTTTTTTTTGCAAACTTTAATAATGGTTTCTGCTGCTGAACATAGAGTTGAAAATTCAAAATATAAAAAAAATTTTTATGTTGACGGCAAAAATTATTTTGTGAATTTTGTCAACATGTTGTGGATCATACAAAAAAATCTACAGTAGACTCTCATTTAAAATCAGAAAAACATAAAGCTAATGTTAAAGCTGAAAATTCAAAATCGGCCTGTCAAACAACTCTTGATACAGCTAATATTAATATAAATAATCGAGAGCTTATTAATCTTGCTTTAGTAAATGCATTTACTAAAGCTGATATTCTTCTATACAAAATTGATAAGCTTAAAAGCTTTTTTTTAGAATACTGCAAAAACGATAAATTATTTAATTAATAAATTTTATTTAAACAAAATTAATAAAAGTTTAATTTTATTTAGATGGTGCTATTGTGGGTTCAAATCATCTTCGTATTAAATATTTGCCAAAAATATTTGATATCGAAGTTTCAAAATTACAAAATCTTGTAAAAGACAAACGAATTTTGGTCACTGTAGATGAAACTACAGATGCATGTAGTAGAGCCATTATTCATATATTATTTAGTTTTAATAACCATATCAAACTTGCTAAAACCGAATTTATTACCACCGTAGATAGTACTTCTATTGTGCAATTGATTTTTGAAACTTTCTAATTTTATATTATTTTATTTGATAACCTTATTTTTCTTATTTTTGATAATGCAGCATACATGCTAAAAGCTTTTCAAATTATAGCTCCATTAGTTCTATAATTAAAGCATAATCATTGCTTGGCCCATATTTTAAATTTAGTTGGTGAAACTTGGGTCCATTATAAAAATTTTCAAGTTTTAGCTAATATTGCTAAAAATATTAAAGCACCATTCATTCAATGCCCAGCATGTAAAAGGTGTTGGATTAGTTTTTTAGAATTGAACTTTAATCCTGATTTATTATTAGATAATGATAATACCAATAACCAAATTACTTTACCGCCATTACCCATTAAGACAAGATGGAATTCGTGGTTCCAGTTTATTTTTTGGATTAATAAAAATATTAACCACTTACGTTTATTTTATCTTGAGGAAGAACAGATTAATAATGAAAGCCAAGCAATTCAAGAATTAGCAACAATTTTTAAAAATAATACCAATATCTTTCTTTTTGAGATTCTTACTATGTTTATATTATCTAACGCAGTATGGTAAGTATTATTATTATTTTTTTTTTAGAGAAATTAATTTAATCTCATCCAATTTTAGTCTTGTAGAAGATCTTGAATTTTTTGAAATTAGAAAAAAACCTGTTGCTTCATTTGTAACACAACGTTTAACACATCTTGAAGCCTTGTTACAATCAGAAATTATTGAACCTCCTATTAATGAAGAAATTAAATGTAAATTTCATAATAATCATCTTGATATGAAAATTTATATTACTATATTTTGTGAGACGTATCAATTAGTATATAACAAGTTTAAAAAGCATATTGACCAACACCCTGCATTGGCTTTATTTAAAGCTATTCAATGTTTCGATCCATGATTTATACATCTCCAATAAAATCGTCAAAATATTTATTTGTATTCAGAAATTTGAGAATTTAAATCACCAAGCAATCAAATTCTTCAAGAGTGGGGTATTTATTGTGGATTAACTAAAAATTTTTCTAATACTGAAAATTTTGATTTAGATGTTTACTTGAAGGAAAAAATTCGAAGCTTATCCAACTTATCAAAATTAGCATTAGATTATATTTGACTACCAGTATCAGGTGTGGATGTCGAACAAAGCTTTTCTGCGTATAAGAATATTCTTGATAATAATTGACATTCACTTTCTGAAATGTCTATTGCAGCATTAAATTTTATGTATTTTAATAGCCAAATGGAGGAATAGTTTGAATTTGATAAATTTTTATTTTTTTTTTTAATTAGAACTTGACAAATTTTTTTTTTGCTTAAAAAAAAAGATTATACGATTTTATTTATTTTAAATTATACAATAAACTAAAGTTGCATATTTGTAATGTAATTGCATATTCCTACTTGATTTGCATAATTTTTTGCATAATGTTAAAATTTTATTGCATAATTTTGCATAAATAAATGAGTAACGCATGCAGAATTTGGGGTCTGTTGCCGCAGAAAATGATGAGCCCTAATTCCGAGTTTGTGATCTTGTTTAAATCTTTTATCGTTAAACTTTTTGCTATATATTCTATATCATTTGGTGCACTAACTGACACTTCCTTAGTGAGTTTTTCTAGTTGTGTATCTATCATGTATTTTGATGCTGCTGCACATCTACTCTCTATAAAGTCATAGAAGATCATCTTTGCCATACTGTGTTATCTATTAATTCTGTTGATAATCTATCTTTACTATATTGTTTGATAATCTAATCTAATTTTCTGAAAGGTTCTATTGACAATTCTATTTGTACTTTATACGTGACTTTGTTGTTGTTGTTTTGCTTTGCACGTGCGCTTTTTCTTTGTTTTGGCCTATTCTAGACGTGTTTATTTGTTTACGTGTCTGTGTGACTGTCAATGATCTGTGTTCAGGGTCAGGCCAATATCTTCTTTTTCTAAAAATTTCTCTGCAAAATTCTGGTTTTCTTAGATAGCTTGCTTTGTACAAGTTTTTCTTTGCTGCTTTCTAAGCTTGCTACCTGTTAATTTTGTTGCTCTTTCTTTTTTGTTAGAGTCACTTGACCTGTTTTCTATAGCTTTTGTTGAGTTTTTGACAATTTTGCTTCTGCTTGTTTTTGTATTCAAGTGATCGTCAGGAAGAGTTTTTGGTTTTTTGATGAATATTTTTTTAAAAAATCTAAAATTTTCAGAATATATGTAATTTTTTATGCTGAACAAATTTTACTTAATATTTATGCTTGGTTTACTTAATAAAAAATTAAGTTTTATACATACTAAAAATTAAATTTTATATTTATATTAAAACTATATTAAAAACTAGTAAACCGTACTGATGAAAAAATTAAAAAATTTTTTAAATTAAATTATTTTAAAAAGTACTATATAGAATTTTGCAAATTTTTTTTATTTAAAAGCTTTAGATTTAATTAATATTTTATAGAATTTTTAGCTTTATATCTTGTTTATTTAGCTCAATATAAATTTTCAAAAAGTGTCCACAATGCATTGGTAGCCCCCTGTAGGTTCCATCCATAAAAGTGACTCTAAAGAGTTGGAAATATGATCCAGACGCTAATGAACAACCCAATTCAGATCTTGAGCCTTATTATTAAGAAGCTTTTCTAAAAGAATAGATGCTTCATTATTAACCTTATTACGTTGCTTGAATGATTGGATGGTAAGAAATAAGTCTTGTGATAAGAAAAGGATTCCAGGATATTTATCTTCAAGTATAGAAAGTTGCATACACATGTTTAGACCTTTAGAAGTATAATACTTAATATCTTCCTTTGCTTCATCAGAAAATTGTCAATAGTTGGAAGCAAATATAATAGTATCAGGATGAATTTCATAATTATTATATTCAAGATAACAGGAAGTAATTTTAATTATTCTAGTTGTCTTCGGGCAGCTTGCATTGACTAACTATTTACAGCCTAATCATTTAGTATGAGATTGTCTTTGTTGTTCTAAGATAACAGTTTTTTTTGAATGGCCTTTGCCTTAGTGTTCACAAGCATATTGGCATCTTCTACGCGTAATATTATCAAATTCAGATTCAAGAATGATTGATATAAAGCCATTTTGTTCTGCATATACTCAAACATGACGATCAAGCTGCTCCCAACTATGAAATACTGAACCAGGAACAATTTTAAGGTGATCACTATCTTTATTTGCCTCAGAAATATTAATATAAGACACATCATTTCTTATGGTGTCCATAGTTTGCACATCAAATATAAATGAATCTTGCTGTTGCATAGAATTATCAAGAAAGCCTTGTAAATCAGATATAAAAATGTCTTCACTTAACGAAGATTCCAAATAGTCTAATGAAAATTGTTGCATATGTTGGGATACTTGCTGAGAATAGTCATCACTTAATAAAGATTCCAGATGGTTCAATAACAATTGTTGCATATGTTCACTTAACGAAGATTCCCGATGGTTCAATAATAATTGTTGCATATATTGAGATACTTGTGAAGAATAATCGTAAGTTGATGAGCCATCAAGTTAAGATGTTCTGGAATTTCACACATACTAATAATAAAAAGGTTGTAGACATAATGTTAATGACTCTAGTAATTTAATTTTTGAAATCAAAATAAGCAACCTGTAATTCACAAATAAGTAGATTAGTCATTAGAGACAAAGACCATACAAAAAAAATTTTTATTAGTTATTACACCAAGTGAAAGAGAAAATGTCAAATTAATGTATTTAAAAATAGCATCAGTCATTTAATACTTGCCTTTTGGTATGTATTTCTTCAGCACTTGCTTCAACTTTATTTATTCCTTTATATTTCACTAACCCAATTTTATGCAACAAAAACTACCCTTCCATGAGTGGTTTGCTGAAATTTTTATTATGTTACTATTCTTAGTAATAGTTTCTACCGCGTCTATTAGAAGCAAAGTTAGTTAAAAAAATTCTACAAATAGTACTAATTACCTGATATTGCTTAATCAGTACATATCATATTAACTTTATTTGATATTATTCTTTTACGAGCAACTTGCTAAGTCGCTGGTTTTTTTTTTAAGTCATTATGCTAGTCGAAAGAAAACCAGACCTTATAAGAAAATTCGCAAACAAGTCACCTGATATTCGCTTGTTCGTACTAGAGTTGCTGGTGAAACTAAATTATGAAGTTGCACCAATTTTCACCGATCACCAATCACCAATTAACATTAGTAATACTGGTGATACTGATAGTACTAGTAATAATGGTGACACTGGTAATACTAGTGAAACTGGTGATACTGGTATATTGGTAAAACTGGTGAAACTGGTGATACTGGTAATACTGGCAATACTGGTAATACTGGTGATATTGGCGATACTGGTGATACTGGCGATACTGATGATACTGGCGATACTGGTGATACTGGTGATACTGGTGATACTGGCTGATACTAGTGATTAGGGATGGTTAGGTTGATTTAGGTTCGGTTTTGGTTCCAGAACCTTTAGGTTCTATTTTGAAAACCTAAGAACTTGGTTTTTAAAAAGTTCTAAAACCTGGTTCGGAACCTGGTTTCAGAATCTGGTTCGGAACCTGGTCCCAGAACCTGGCTCAGAATCTGGTCCCAGAACCTGGTTCAGAACCTGGTCCCGGAACCTGGTTTGGAATCTGGTTCCAGAACCTGGTTCCAAGACCTGGTTCTGAATCCTGGCCTACCCCTATATATGTATCTTGTGAAAGCCTTTCTAAATGTATGTCTTCGCTTGGGTCTAACTAATATACCTCCTAAGTGCAATATCTCTCTAAATGAATGTTTGACTAAATTTTTATATATGGTTCTATCACAATGCATTTTGAGCGGTTCTGACTATATTTTATTTTTATCTAGCCTTAACTAGCTTTAGCACATCTCCGAATGCAGCAAATACATAATCCATATACTTTCATGTAAATATTTAATCCCGTGCTTTCATTT